GCATCTAAACTTTAATATTTACGTATATGGCACTCCATTAATTATCTTTAACAATGACAAAATTGGTCGGTGATCGAAACTGGGCTCCCCCTCTTGCTCTCAGCTGAAACTCCTCCCATTTTCACTGACCCCAAGCTCTTCACCCTTCTCCCATACGTTGGTTTACCTCCCGCAAGATCCTTCCACTGGCAAAAATCTGTGGCCCACAAGCTCTGGCAGCCCAGCTTCATAGTCTCTGTCCTTATTTGTTCCCTTCCTCTCTTTGCTCCACCTTGTTGCAACTCCTCTTCATGCTGCACTCCCTCCCAACGAACCCAGCTCGTCATCAGTGAGCTCCACCCCGTCTTGAACCTACCTGCATTGTTCTCTATGTTCACCTTGCTGCTACCCGAGAAACCCAACACCAAACACCACTCCCTCCCTAGACGTTAGTTTCAATTTTGAGTTGAAACGGATCCAAATAACTCAATTTGAGCCACTTTGTTTCAATTTTGAGTTGGATCGTCGCGATTTTGAGCTAGAACGGATCCAAATGATTCAATTTGAGCCAACTCGTTTCAATTTGTAGCCTGATGTAGCTCGATTTAATTTCCAGCCGAACTGGCTCGAAACTGAATATAAAGAATATTGAGCTGTACTCAATTCATTTAAGCTGATTTAGAGCCGACACCAACTCAGCTCCATGTTGGATCGTTAACATCCCTAGGTGTTTAAAACAATTGAAATTCACCCTGTTATTTTGACATGCCTGCATGTCATCCTCATGAGAGGGACGTTAGGATGTTGATCATCTCTAGAGACAACAAACTGAGACAAATATGGTGCATCTCTATCATTCTTCCTTGGCGGTTCTTAGAGGTTAAGTATATAATCTACAGTTGATAGTTTAGAAAATTAGAGAAGCATATGAGAAAATATTTTTAGGGCGTTGATCATCTCTTGAGACAACAAACTGAGCCTAACTTGGCGCCATCACTATCATTCTTCCTTGACGTTTCTTGGGTTCAACAATTTTATAGCCATAAGACAATTATATATCCTACAGTTGATAATGAAGAATATTAGAGGAGGAGCATAAGAGAATTTCATTCCTATTTTCAATGAACTTGGCTTATGTTTAAAAATGAGCTTGGCATGTGTTCTTTTTTGGAAAATTTTTGGCAAACTTTCTCGCTCATGACTAAGGGTGCGTTTGAGGCAGCTTATTAGTTGCGGCAGCGTTTTCAAAACGCCGCCTGTGTGTTTGGAAGAAACGTTCGGAATGCTTATTTCAAAACTTTGTTTCGTTGTTTAACTAAACGCGTGACGCGGGAGGAGCCCAACGGTCGGCGTTTGCTTCAGCATTTTGACGTTGTTGCTCGTCTTTAATATAAATAATGCTATTCATTTTAACCCACTCTAAATTTTCAATTATGATAATTTTATTTATTTATTTATTTTTGTTTAATCAAATCAAAATTAGATTTTTAAGCCAGGTACTAATGAAGTCTGTGCCATGACCTTTTCTTTTAGCCGTGTTTGATTTTGAATGGAATTGTATCTCACTTTATGCAGTTATATCGTACAGTCTAATGTGCATTTTCCTTGAAATAATAACCATAAATTTCTTGCTTGATTGTGCCAATTTTTGTAATTTTGAGATTTTAAATCGTTCACCATGTCTAGTTTGTTCTCTTCTTGTTCTCGCCCTAAACAATTATGTCCTGGAATAGCAGTTAAATTATCTAGTAAAAGGATAAATGTTATGATTAGGATATTAATGAC